AAAAAATGTAAAATCATTATTTTGTCTATCTGACTTTGTTTTTATGAACCCAGGCCTGTAGTTTAGACTAAAATAATTTCTACATGTTCCATGATGTTTCAGAAATATTCCATTTTTTAACCCGCATAGACCGCCATAGAATGAAGCGACCTAGTTTCTTACCGAATGTAAACAGCAAAAATTATAGAAGTTATCTTATTATTTTCTTACGGTATGTCTATAAATTTCAGATAGAGATTCTGCATTTACAATATCAAAGGTAATTTATCATAAACTAAAAGCTAAAGTTGTAATAAAAAAGATAATACGAATGTTGTCGTCTGCACGCCTCTGGAGACCTTAGGCCTAACGTTACATACATGTAACATGTTTATGCTATGTTTGAGTTTGCGATGTGACAGTATACTATGTATTTTGAAATTTTTGTATCTATAACGCATAAACATTGCTATTTTCAATAAGTTTGAAAGCATTGTAAACCTACATTTTCGCTTTTCCACTGCGTCAACACACTTCGGCGCTCTTGGCTGGCATGTTTGGGTACCGCTTTCGAGAATGTTCCCGTAGGCTTAATTGTGATCTCGACAATTTTTTAAATGTTTTAAAATTTCTGTCGGTTGGCTATTTTAATGGAGTGCCATTCGGCATCCTTGTCGCTTTGAAACGGGCGATCCCGTCTTCTTGAGTCTTCCCCTCTAGGGCCTCTCTATGTCGATTTCACTTGTCGACTTTCCTAGGCCTATGTCGTAAATATCGTAATTTTGCACACGTGTTGGTCATTTATACAACATAGAAAGATTTTTTATTTAAAAATAAATGTAGTTTAACATATAAATCATAAAAACTTTAAAAACATCTTTGTAAATTGTTATCAGTTTGAATTTTACGACATGTCTAAGTACGAAGACCCACTTGGAGTAAATTGATCAGAAGAATTCATCCTTAAATATAAATATAAAAAGTGCCTTTGTCTGTTAAAATGATAAATGCAAAAAAATGGTTGTAAACTTGTAATTGTAATTGAACTTGTAATTGGTTCAGCAGTGAAAATGCTGAAAAGGTTCAAAGAACAGCGGCAGAAAAAAAAGATAGTAATGGGTCATGTGACCTAGAGAAACTGATTTTTATGATTTAAGAAAATATTATCAACAATTATGAATTGTAAAAGAAAAGAATATAAGTGTTAAGTGAATGTTTTTATTTTCGCCTGCAGTGTATCATAAAAATGACCTGTTATTTTGCAATATTATTGTGAGGTGAAAAAAAGCATGATACAAAAAAAAAATCATAGACTAGAATCAGCTTTCAGAAGCACTCTAAAAATCATTAATTTTAGTTGGAATAATTAGCATAAATTATGGAGAAATGTTTAAGCTATATAATAAAAAGGAGTTATTGAACTTATATTGGCGAATATTGCCACTCATTGGCTGTAAAGATGCACTCGCAAGCTCGTGCATTTGTACAGCCAATGAGTGCTAAACACTGCTAATATTCACCAATATTAGTTCAAAAACCCTTTAGTATTTTTTTTCTGAATTATACTGTCTCTCTCAATATGTCCTGCTCAAAAACGTCTTTGCCATATATTTTACGCAAGAGAGATAAGATACCTGTCATTAAGATCTAAAAGTGAATCGGTCTCAATATTTTTAAAAAGTAAATTATCGTGTTAATGTTCGTTATTTTTTCAAACTACAATAACTGAAAATAATTGAAAAGAGAGCCAAAAATAATTTACATGTTAAACCAATTAAAGTCATTCTTTCTAAATGATTTTAACGCTTAAATAAATTGTCTGACAAACATCTTAAAACATGAGGATTAAGAAAAAAAACAGCAAAATTCCAGGCATATAACAAAATAAAAGAGAACATGTATGTTTTAGGAATGTATTCAAACATTTGTTTAATGAAATTCGAATTTTTAAAGCTTTTCTACTTCACACATGATAAAGAAATGCTTTGCATACTATGTGAGCAAAGAAGGAAACGAAATAATCTTTGTATTTGTTAATTACAGAACGTTGTTTAAGATCGATGAACTTCAGTGAATATTGACATTTTTATTCATTATCTCGAAAATGTATGAATCGACGTCCGACAAACCTAAAATGTCCTTACTTTAATATCAAAAGTTATCAGCATATTAAACGCCGCGAGTTTGGAAAGAGCAGGTTAATATATACTGAAAGGAAAAAGAAACGCAGGGTAAACTTTTGATGTGAATTAAATTTACTTTTCTTTCAATTTTTATCAGTATTCCTATCTAACTTTTAAAATCATCTTTCATAAAGATATAACAAAAAAATTATATGATTTTGTCTAATAATTCTTGAGTTATTAAAGCTCATATGACGATACCCCCAAAAAGTGAAAATCGAAAACACTCATTATCTTCAATGACTCTCCTGCATATCTGTCATGAGCGTTATTTCTCCTTTTCATGGAATTCATCAGAGTGATTATCTTTTAAACCCTGGCTATATCGGGCATCGGTAACCACGCAAAAAATTAGTCATGCAACGCGCGCATGCGCAAGTAAGAGGAACACAACAGTAAGTTGACTTGCTCAAAAAACCAAATTGCAGAATTGTTTTCTTTTATTTTTGTGTCAATGTAATGACTAGAATAGTCTACTGTATAAAAGGCGGATTTGGTGGAAGTAGGATTGCGATTTAAGAGGTGGCAGGACGAATAACCCGCTCGTAACATGGCTCTGTTTCGCGTTAATGTCATCGTCACTGTTGATTCAAAACTATTCCATTCCCTCTCTGACAACGATTAACAAGTTTTATGGTGGAAAATTTACAAGAAACTGCTTAGTTACTCATTGTTGCCGTTTTAAATAATTGGGCAATTCGAAAAGCAGACCCCACTGAACTTCCGTAAACTGTACCAAGATTGCAAGGAATTCATATCGTCTCTAAATATTGAAAAACTATGTGTATACTTCAGGTGCATCAAATGGTGCAACAAGATTTGTTGACAAACTCGTCGTTATCAAATTGCACGTGTTTTGGGCTTTTTATTGTTTTCCCTACATGACGTCATACATATTACGCTTGATTAATTCTTAACACTGATTTTGGTGCAAAGTAACTAAATTTCTCATCTGACCAATTTTCGTAATTTTCGGTCCTGTGGTCAAATAGTTTTCGAATATTATGCTACCCTGCATTTCTTTTTCCTTTCAGTATATTACTCAAAACCTATTCATAGCTTAATTTTACTTTCAAACTCGATCGGCCTCTTAAAAAGCACGATGCCAGAATTGAATTTCAATAATTAAAGTTGCACGTAAGTTGCACTTCCATTATTATAAAATGTTAATGCTGCAATTATTTTGCTAAAACTGCTGTACATTGGCATCAATGTAAACCATGCGTATCGTCAAAATGTACAATCCTCTCCCATTCTGGGCGACAGGGATTTTGTAATGAGGAACCATGACTTGAGACAATGGTAAAGCGGTAGCAATTTTTTGTGTCTTTTATGTTCTCTACATGAGGCCTGTGTTGTAATAGTATTACTGTTGAAACTGAAGTAAAATAATTTCTGTATCTTCTATCCCGGTTCTGAAAGAGCTTTTCTTAAATATGAGAAACGATATTAAACTTCCTGAATTGCCAAGAGATGCATTTGATTCCCAGGCAACTGCGTAAATTCGACCGACAGAAATTTGACTATGTGTTTTTGCTAATAAAATCGTTATAAAAAATTGTTTAACAAGATCTGAAAAGAAAACCTCTCATTTTTTTTAAATTTCGATCATTTATTCAAAGTTGTATATTTTTTGGTAAGAATATGCAAGTGGTAGCTAAATTTAAATCGTTGTGCAACCTCCATTGTTCGTCATTACATGTATCTCATGAAAATTGATTGTCAACAAAGTTTGGGACGGTTTCACATAAGTTTTTGTCTGACAAATTTCTCAGATTACTATACACATCCCCTCTGTTAATATAAAATGCAGTAAAATTAATAAACAAACGTGTAAGAACACGGAACTTGAATTGAAATCAGTGTTAAATACTTTATTCACTTAGCATATTTTTGTGTGAATCTTTCTCAGACTTTATTTATGTGGATAATCGCATTTTTAGCAGATCCACAGTTATCGTTATATGATATAGTTTTTTTTTCTGAAAGCATAAAAGAAACCAAAAAAAAACTGGAAATAGAACTTACTTTATCGGACTTTCCTTGATACTTGCACAAGGTGTAATTAGACTTCAATACCGAAATGCATCTTATACAGGACGTCAAGTTACTTCACAAACAGATTGTGTCTTATAGCAATTTGAAGTTTGAAGAAGCTGACTAAAGAAACATATGTAAACTGTGTAATGACTTCTGGTGAAACAATTGCACTTGCCTACAAAGTCATATTTTAAAATATATTTAGAGGGTATTCTTTCTGCAATACCGTATTTCAATAAAATTAATTCGTTGTAGTTTTCATAAATAAAAATCCCGACTAATATAAAGATATCCATTTAAATTTTTACGCTCTTACACGTTAGTCTGAACGCCAATTTGTAAAAGCGGGTGAGATGGTCTACTCTGAACATTGGCAGAATAACGGGTGATTGGTTGAAGGAGAACATAGAATATTAATGCAAATGAATATGATGAGTAATTAAAAACTTGACCTAACTTTTTACAACGTTTTTATATATCACGGTGCGACAGTGGGACGAACACACATGCAGTGCTGCAGCTCTCTAGAAAACTCATAGAGCTTAGATAGGTAAGTAGCGTCATATTTAAGTTGCATTTCTGGAATGGAGTCTGGGTAGACCTTATCAAATTTTTAATCAAAGACATTGTTTTGTAGATATATTTATTTCAAGCTGCTCTCTACAATAACACTGCAGAACAGATACATGCATGTATATTCGCCATTATCACATGAATCACTGGTAGCAAATTGAATTTGTAAAGTTTTATTACAAAATATGCGAATATACGCAGTACGGTTAAGGCAACCCATGGAAAAAATATGGTAATGAGGTCATAATGAGGTTTGACGTCATGACAGTTGCTCCGCCCTGATTGATCTTTATAAGGAAATAGAGCTCAAAATAACTATTTACCGATATTTGCAAGAATTTGTAACAAACGGCAATATTTCCATGTCTAAATAAATAATTATTAGTGATTTTCTCCTATATAGAATGGCATGTTTTTAAAATAATCCGATTTCTTATGTGCCGTTTGGCTGCATTCGGCTTCAGCCAAGCGCTTGCACTCGATGACACGGAATGTTGTTTACATCTAAAAACGTGGCGACATCAGCTGAGACATGCAGTGGATTTATATGCAATAATCAGACATTCTTTAAAGAATTGGGGATAAGATAAGAGATAAGGCATTGTTTATCCCTATTACGAGAATATGAGGACATTATTACAGAAAATAATGGAAGAGTGAGACGATCTGCACCAGCTCCCTAGATGAATAAGATCCATCACTGCAGTGCATTCAGCCCAGGTATGTATGCACATGTTTGAACATTATGTAGATATGCTTCTGTTAACATCGAAGAAAAAACGATCGCGAGTGTGTACGTGTATATTTAGATGTATTATCACGGTCAGTGAAAAACTAATGCAGTGCAGTGTGTGTCGCCCCCCACCCCCTCCCAACAGCCCACATAAAGTTGATCACTTTGTTTTACTAAAAAATTAAAAATGTAATTGTACTAAATATAGAGTCGATTAGTGTAATAAGGGTGTTAATTAGTAATACAAACTTAGACTAAATTAAATTTGAAATTTCATTGCTCCAGTCAATGTGTTGACAATGATTTAATGAACATGTAATGACTCATTATGTTGTTGTCTTTTTGGCATACAAACATGCTAAATGTAACAAATATTATTTGTATCATTATGATGAAAACAAAGAACCTCCACTTTAGATCTATGGGTTTAAATTTTAAGAATTTCTAAATTAATGGTTAATAAAATATTTATTTTTTTTAGTATGATTTCAATTTTTAAGTCAATTAATTTCTGTAATTTATACATAATTTTTTTTAATCATATGACATATTATACTTTTATTATTGTAGCAGTCAAGGGATCCAGGCTTGAAGTATAAATAAATACAAAATGCATCCATTTCTCCACAGGGTGTGTACACTTATAAGCATTTCACATTTTTTTAACCATGCTTGTGTGCATGATTAGGCCTATATTTATTTTTCATTTTGGTAAAGATGGAAGAATGTTTTTTTTTTCATATTCTAATCATTTGTTCTTGTTAATGTCAGAGGTTTTAATTTCCCAGAAGAGTTTTGTAAATAAATACAGCTTTGTTTCCATTTAACTTTTATATGAATTTTAATTCACTACAGTTTACAATATATCATGAATTGTTTTGTCAAATGTAACGTGATTTTACTTTACAATGTATTTTATTTAGTAATCTCATAGCATATAATGTGTTGCAGATATTCCTAAAGAATTAGACCAATGGAATCATTCATGATCAGGCAGCAAGTTAATCCACGATGTAAGGAAAATGGTATGCTCCATATTACCTATAAACCAAATTACCATGCAATATTCCTGGCAAACAATATATAACAGTAGAATTGCAAACATTTAATTATATATGCATCCAATGCATGTTTCCATGCATTGATCTGAATTTAATTAAATTTTAATCACCAATTTACTCTTAGTAATGGTATGTTACTACATGAATGTCCTGATTTTCTCATACATGTATTTTCAGAATTGATTTCATCCACAAGAACATGAAGTGATGGAAAAAAATTGCAGCCCCCCAGTATTCCTTGTACAGTCTATCTTAATTTGAAAATCTGTTTATGAAATAAAATTTCTTCATAAAAAATTATTTGACTTTTTCATATCCATGTACTTACTGTACAGGTGTTGAAAAGGCTATTAAGATTTGATAATCTTGACTTGCTTATATTTGTGTGGTGCCAGACTGTCAATGTCCATCAAGATTTTTTTCCAGCATGTACATTGTGTTAATTTGTTTTTCTTAATAATAGTAACTAAAAAGGAGATTAAAGGCCCCCCCCCCTAATTGATTCAAAACAAGAAAGGGGACCACCATTTTATTCTAAAGGGAAGTGTGGGGGGGGGGGTGGCAAGTTTTCCCAAGTCATTATGTTTTTTATTTCTTTTCATGTCAATGAAGGACAGGTCTACTAATATTTACTTCCAATATGATGAAGGACAGGTTATTTATTTTCCTCCCTACTGAAAAATGTCTGACAAGCTAAACAAAATTATAGGAGGGGGAACACTGGTCTGGGGCAGATTAATTTTTTTATCCTATTTGGGACATATTTATTTTCAACATTTCAGATCTACCCACCCCCCTCTTTTGGAATAAAATGGTAGTCCCTTTAACAAATACAGGAATTTGTATGTTTTCCACTTAGTCTTAGTTCTTAAAACGTATGACTTAAATCCCATAGGGGTTGAAGGTTTTAAAGAAAGCCATGATATAATCTTGTATGCGAAAAAAAATATTTGTACACAATTGCATGTACATTAGTGACAAAGGGGTATGATTATCGAATTAATTATTGATGGAGGCTATCAATTGACTATTATAATTGAATATTCCCATTTTTATTAACAATCGGCGTTTTAAATTACATGCAAACTGTACACCTACATTTAGCTGCATGTGTTATTACACTGATTCGAAGAAATGCGGAAGGTCTGAAAGACGTCTTATATCATACATAATTCACGCATTGTATAGAGAACGAAGTCACAAAATAGAAAGTAAAACCCAGTGTTTTATGCATACTGTTCGATTAAGTAAAAAGATCCCGGCGCATTTTGCAAGTATAGGCCTGGTTATTTAAAATCTACGAGGTAAACAAACTTTATCAAGTACGGAAGAGTTATCTCCCATGCTGGGTCAACGATGCGTTTGAAAACTATATTTAGACTGACTGTACCAAGATGTAAATTTTTAATCAAAAAGTTCAAGGGCGAGGCGACAATCAAATAAGTAGGTTTTTATTTTAAATTATTCATTTTACTGTATATTTTTCAAAAAGTGATGCTCATTTCTTTGTAATCCTTAAGGTAATTTATAATTTCCGATGATATTAGGAAAATACCCCATTTTTCATATACTACTGACTGTTTTAGGTGAATAACTCAAATGTATCGGAAAACCAACTGAATGAGCATCACTTTTGCGAAAGTATAGATACATAGGAACAATTTAAAACACTGTGCAGTTATTTGTTTGTTTGCCTTGCCCTTGAACTTTTTGGTTAAATTTAACATTTCATTTGTTGACCTAAAATCGGAACCCACGTGACTTTAGAGGGTCACATGATCACAAAAATTCCTAGATGAATAGCGATGGACATACTCTTCAAGATAACATAAAGCTTTTTAAACTAGAGTGTCTTGCTGAAAAATAAAATAGTTAAATATTAATTGTATCGTTTTCGGTGACGTTTTATAGAAAATGTTGCCTTAACTGTACTGCGTACAGATTTCACTTCAATTTTTGTTTACTTTGTGTTCAGAACTTAGTGAATTTTAAAGTACCTGTATGACATTTCCATGTCTAAAATCAACGTTTCCCTTCTATTTCACGATGTGTACTAAATATCATTATTTGTATTTCGTAAAAGAAATTCGGTATGTGACGTTACATAGCAGAAAAAAAAGCAAAAACGACCATTTTAAGTGTGAAGAGACAAATGATGAGCAGAGCGTTTCAATAAATCTAATTACCTTTAATATTTTTTTTTTCAGTAAAATTTTCTCTAAAAGGCAGATTTTGAAGAATCTTCATGGTAGTATGAAAGTAACAATTTTAAGAAAGAGTACTGACGTAATCAGCTTGTCACTTCATACAAAGTAACTTTTCAGAAACGAACAATTTTCAAGTTTCCAGAAACTATTTCAAATTTTATTTGATTTATGTGATATCCATTACGCAATCGGCATATTCTTTACTATTTTAGTATGCACACTTTCTGTACTATTATTGTATTGCTTCAGTATACCATATAAGACATTTTTATCGTGTATTTAAACATATACAAAAACAGTGCAGATTAAACAAAAACACAAACTTCTTCCGAGTACCTAGATACCTCGTAAAGAAACATAAACCACATAATAATCTGACCTTCGTCACATGTAAGTCCTTGAGCACCAACATCAGATCCGCTTGGACAACTTCCGTTCTCGTGATTACAATGGACCCCATCACTACAGTTACCACAGGTTTTACCACACTCAAGGCCATATATACCGGGGTCACATTCTGAAAATTATCAAAACGTTGACCGCCATTGCACGTTAAAATCTTTAATAAAATTTCTAATGAAAGTAAATGTTTTCTTTGTTTCATTTGTTACCATTTAATGATGTGAGAAAATAAAGTGAGAACTGTATTTTTAAAAAGAAACTCGCATGCTTTAAGAAATAATTTAGAATTTATGTATACCATTACATATATGTTCTCTTAATATCCATGTATTTGCTTCTTATCGCATTATATACATCTATTTAAAGTACCACAAGTATTAAGTACAAATTTAGAATTGAATTTAAAAATACGAGGGGTGAACAAAAGTTCGCGAACTACTGTAGAAGTACCTTTTTTCACGAGGTATTCATTTACGTTTTGTACGCGGTCACATAGAAATATATGCGGTATTAACCAACATTTGCCCCCCAAAATCAAACTTTGATGGAGTAATATTTAATTAAGTCCTAAAACAGGGGAGTATATGCTGACTTCAAAGCACTGAATAATTTCATAAGTAATGACGTCATATGTAGGTAATGACGTCACAAATATGACGTAAATTTCAGTTTTTTATGATTTTTGCAGAAAAAATGTACATATTTCGTCGATATTTTAAATAAAAGTCACCGAGAGCATGTGTGTTCAGGATAAATATTTTGATATAATGTGTAGAATGATAATATCAATGAAATATGTCAATATTGTTCCTGAACACACATGCGCTCTATAAATTTTTAAGCTTAAATTGTTGAAATTTTGTCCATTTTGTCCTCTTTCTGAAAAAAGATATAAAATCGGACTAGTTTGTGACGTCATAAAAACAGAAATTGTGAATACACTGCTCTGGAACTATAATATTTTCTGTTAACTTATATTTCTCGTACAATTTATTGAATTCAGCACATTTCAGGAAGTTTTCAAAATTTGACTTTTGTGGGGGCAAACATATGCAATATACCGCATATAGTTCTTTGAAAGCAATACAGAGAATGGTTCTTAAATCAATAAGATGTATCCGCTCAGTTCCATATTATGTACTACTTCCAGTTGTCTTCTCCAGATTTGAACACTTTCCTTATCATGGGAGGAGCAGCAGTGGTCACGTTAGTAAGCCTGGTCGTTGTTATCACACTATGTTTTGTTTTCAGAAGGTAATTGTACTGCATGTACTTACATTTTATATGGGACACAAACTTACACCAATACATACTCGATACACACCCTGGCTTCGCTTCAAGTCCACTTTCAGAAATTTCGTAAAGTTATGCACGCGTACTTAATATAAATGTAAGGCATACAGAGACAATCTAAGAATCCGCGTAATTTTCTAACCGCAGATTAAACAGAAATTGAGGTTCCGCAGAATTATATTCCCGTGGAAAAAAGTACGTCTACTGTATATCTGTATTTACAAAACCACAATACAGATTAGATAAAAAATGGTACACACATAGCCATAGTTCTATAAATTAGATACACTTTGAATAAACGTGTCTCCCGAGACAGAAGATTTGGGTTTTGAAGGATATTTTAATACACCCATTCTGTTGCCGAGATTTGACTATTTCTGACAAATGAACTGTTCTTGTTATAAAAATTAACCTACATGGAAACAAATAAACTCGGTAAAAACACTTTCAGCTTTGGTGACAGAAGGCTAAGAAGCGGGTTACTTGACTGCATATGTCACTTGATTGGCGCATGAGCAGATTGGTGGCAGATGTGCATTAAAATCGGAGACGACTTATTAAAAATATAATCAACACTGAAAACAAATATTTTTTTTCTTTTATGGAAGTTATTCAATTATTTAGCAAACTTTTTGATCACCCGTCCTATATTTATCCTCATTTTTGATTCATCATCCCATGAAATCTCTCTCTCTCTGTCTGTCTCTTTCTCTGTCTCTCTCTCTCTTAATATTTTGTATATTCTTAATATTAATTTTAATATATATAGAAAATAACATTTTAATTTTTCATTTAAATTTAACTCATTGGCTGAGCTTGTTACATGTAACATTTATGCAAAAAGTAAAAACATCGTTCATTGTACTCTAACATTAAACAAATGTAAAGTACTGATACAACCCTTAAAATTGGTTCTCTCTCTCTCTCTCTCTCTCTCTCTCTCTCATGTTTTGTATTTACATACGTTCTTCACATCGTGGTCCTTTGTATCCAGCAACACATCCGAGACAGGTTCCATTCACAATGTTACAACGTCTCTCCTGACATTTCTGTGGACACGGTATATTACAATTTTCTCCATAAAAACCTGAGGTAGGGCATCCTGATTGAATTATGAATAAATATATGTATATATCAGTTTGTCCAATACAAACTCTGATGAGTTTTTCATGTTTATTTATTTAGGTCGTTTTGGTCTAAATCATTACTAATATAATTAAAATCCTTGAATAATGCAATGTCTTCTTCTACATGTACAAGTGGCACAGTGACAAACTGTGCATGTTATTAATAGGACCGTTCACGGTAGCTCCTTGATTGGGAGGTCGTGAGTTCGTATCTGGACCGCGACTGACCTAAGTCGATAAAAAATGGGAAGCAACTTTTCCTTTGCCATGCGCTCGGCACTTTGAAGTGTAAATTGCGGGTCCTTCGGATGAGATCTTAAAAATCGAGGCCCGTGTCAGCGGCAGGCGTTGGCACGATAAAGATCTTTCACTGCTCAATAGCCCTGAGTGCCGAGTAAAGGTCAAATTTTGAAGCCCCTCACCGGCATACGGTGACATCTCCAGATGAGTGAAAAATTCTTGAGAGGGACGTTAAACAATACCAAAACATTCAAACGTTCAATTTTCACATTTTTGCGTATGTGCAGAAATTTTCAATATCTTTTTACTAATGTTCCACAATTTGAAAACGAGGTTAAATAAAATTTACCATTCCCATTTTCTGGATAACTCAAAGGCAAATATGCTGCTAAAATCGAAGATTGATTTAACAGCGGTTTAACTCTGTCTAAAATGTAATTTTTGTAACTCATATTAAATCCTTAGTCTCCAGTGATCATTAAATTGTTGAAATTTACTGAGTGCTAATTTTCAGAAAAATATATTTTCTTTCCTGAATTATTGCTGTTTTATGAAATAGTGATCGTTTATAACTAACGCAATTTCGTATCATCAAGTTTGAATATTTCATGACAATCAATACTAATATTCACCATTTATAGAGATGGTATGTCTTCTTACCAAGAACTTGAACTTCACAGAGTTCGTTATATGCGTACTTTGAAAATTCAGGACGATTGATCGGCCGCCCTCTCTCGTTGTAGTAGATAAC